TTGTAATAATTTCTAAGAATTATTTCTGTAAACTTGTTCACTTGAAATGTTATTTTGTAAGTACCTGCTTGGCAAATTATAAATAGAACATCTGTAAGGTGACCAGATTTCAAAAGTCCGAAATCGGAACATTAGTTTCCATTTCCATCGTAATTTGATATATAACTGCTTTGAAAATTTTTAGTTGTAATATACTAACAGTACTGACATATGCTGACACTTAAAACAGTGCTGACAACCATATCGATACAAGTTTTGTTCCCAATTTTTCACAAAATAAAATTACTATTCATGAAAATTAGTGATTTATCCGAGGATTTATTTTTATTCTTATCAGATTTATATAGAAATCGGAACATTCACGGAACGAATGTTTTAATCGGAACATTTATTAGACGAAATTTGAAATAGGAATTATTAGAGTATTGAAATCGATACAGTTCCCATCACATCGGCAAGTCTGGTCACCTTAAACATCTGGGGTAATATAGGGAAGACCCAACGACACAAACAAAGCCATAAAAATTCTTTGCCCATTGTCCCTGAAACGAGACAAGGTTTTGAAGAGTTCATTCGTCGAATTTTGATTTTATAAAGACGTTTATAAAGCGATGATAGGTAGCAAAAAAACTAGAGAGTGGTTAATTTTGATTTTATTAAATTTATTTTATCTAATGAAAAAATAACGCTCAACTTCTGCATTTACTATCCACCAGATGTTTGGGGGGTGCAGTCGGACCTTTGTTGGTTTGGTTTGTCTATGAGTCGGACGATCTCTTTTTTCCGCATTTATGGTTATTGCACTTCACACTCACAGTGAAGCTGTCGAATTCCATTTAGCCATTTCGTTTACAACCACCGAACCTTTCTCGTGAATCCGTAACTCACTTAATTTTTAATGCAGTTTTGTGAAATTGTGCCATTCAGCGTGGGTTGAATTTACACTAGGTAAGTTAATATAATTCTAATGAAGTAATCATTTTAATTTTTACATGCTTCTGTTGTTTTTGATAACTGTACGTAAATAACAACAACAGTTTTTTCAGACAAACTGGAAATACCACCATTAATCACTGAAGATACTCCCGCTGATTTTGAAGAACTTACGGTGATTGTTTTTGAGAGTGAGGCGCTTTGCCATAACATGTTGCAAAGGTATGTTACTGCAATTTTTTATGAACTAGGTGCTAATGAACATAATTTTACTCTAGACTTGAAACAAATACAAAAAATATGTGCGAAATAAAAGAAATTCTAAAGGAAACGAGTGAACAAATCTCCAATATGAAAACGTCATCAAATGTGACAAATCAAAGTAATAGAAGATATGCCGCCAAGACCACAAGTAACCAAATTTTGAGGAATTAGAAGATTATCTCTGCCTACTACAACAAGCAGGTTTCTTTGTAAGTTAAAAAAATACAATTAGTCCAGTCAAATTAGCGATCAACCTCGGAATGAGAGATAATAAGCTGAATTTTCGTATATACCTTCATTTTAGCGTTCTAAAAGTTGTCTCAAAAGTCTCATAAAATCTCGTGTCTGCGTCGTAAATTATTCAAGGTCAAAGGTCAAGAAAAACATTATTTTGCGATTATCTCGGTTTCTATTGCTCTAATGATGTTAACACCTATTATCATAATTGTAGAGCACAAAATTTGGGACAAATTTTATTTGAAACATTTTTTGATACACTTAATTGTTTTTGAGATAGAGGGCAGTGGGCGCGCAGCGTTCATCAATACATACTGTAATGCAATCAACCGTGAATATCTGTGAATACTACCTTGAATTTTGAAAAATTTGTATTATTTATCAGTTAATACATTGCATTTAATAACATTTTGCATATTTTCAATACATTTATTTAATGATACTTACCTACTTTGTGTAATTAAAAACTCTTTAAATGACATTTATTGTAGGTATATCTTAGGTTAGATTATTGTATATCTTAAAGTTATATTAATTTTTTCAAAGTAAATTTTAAGGAAGTAAAACGAGTTAATATATTTTAATTTTATCTTTATTCAGCAGCTGTACATTTCTTACGATTGAAATTGAATTGCAGTGAAAATCTATAAATTTTTAATAATTTAAAGAACAAAAGTATCAATTTTCTTCTTCTTTACCGTCATCTTCTGGACGTTCGGGAATTTCTGTTTCATCTTCGTCATCTTCGGTGCCCTGAATTGTTGTTTCCAGACCTTCCAGTTATAATCATGATAGAAAAATAAGTATTTAAAAACTTACACATTTTAAAGATATAAATAAATTGAGATATACAATAAATATTTCATTAAATGAGTTTTTAATTACACAAAGTAGGTAAGTATTAGTCTATGAATATATTGAAAATATGTAAAATGTTATTAAATACAATGTATTAATTGATTAATAATACAAATTATTCAAAATTCAAGGTAGTATTCACAGATATTCACGGTTGATTGCATTACAGTACGTATGGACGAGCGCTGCGCGCTCACTGTCCTCTATCTCAAAAACGATTGAGCGCATGAAAAAATATTTCAAATCAAATTTGTTCCAAATTTTGTGCTCTACAATTATGATAATAATTGTTAACATCATTGGAGCAATAGAAACTGAGATAATTGCAAAAAACTGTTTATCTTGACCTTTGACCTTGAATAACTTACGACGCAGACACGAGATTTTATGAGACTTTTGAGACAACTTTTAGAACGCCAAAATTAAGGCGTATACAAAAATTCAGCTTATTGTCTCTCATTCCGAGGTTGATCCCTTTTTTATGCTAAAATGACTGGACTAAATATATTTATATGTACTTACATATAACATAATTTTCGATATTATATACAGGTAGATGCCTGTAATACTATAACACTTTTTAGTCACCTACTAAACATGACACATTTCGCTTAACACGTTACATACATAGTGGGTTGCAGAAAAGTCTTATAGTGAAGCACCCTGTATGTTATACATACGCGGTGACTTCCAAATAGATTCGGAAAAAAAAACCTTTAATTGTCACACGGATTCAAAGTAATTAAATTGCTGCTCCAGTTTCGAGAAACAAATACGGAACATCTTGTTAAATGTAAATCATGCGGCAATGATTTATTCAGTTTCCATTGTGACTAAATTTTTTCTTTATTTTTGCTGTGTGTTGCTTAGATGAAAACAAATGGCACTGAATGATATTTTTTCCCCTGAATTAGGACTAGATAAAAGAAATTACTTAAAATTTTCTCTACTTCGTGATGTTGTGGTTTTATTTTCCGAACTTATTTCAGAGTCACTCGATATATACACATAAAAATATTTTCTTCTTTTCTTATTTCAGGAACTGCTATCGTCCCAGACAGGTGGTAATGGGAAAAAGAACAATGTGGGGGGTATATTAAAAAAAAAAAAATTCAGTGAATTTGCTGTAGCTTGTTTGTTCGGTAGGAAAATTCCAAAGTGGCTGGGACAAAAACAATGAATATTATGAAAGGTATTTTTTTTTTGCAATAAATATAATTATTACAATTTTTATTTTTGAAGAAATTACAATGAAGACCCATTCCGCAATAGAAAAAGAAGTAGAACAACGCTGCTCAGAGTGGCTACGGCATTCTAGTCAACGCCTGAAGAAAGAAAAAACAACGACAGTTTATAGTTTCTGTGTCTTTTTTTAAGTGTAAATTATATTGTATTATTTTCGAATTAGGAAATCATATATATATTTATTTATTTATATTATGAATTTATATTAATTTTTATATTTTATTACTTATTACATATTATATTTTTTCAAACATTGAATAAAATAATAATTTACTGTAAGCTCTAAATTTTACTCTCCATATCCATATCCCTAAATGGTAACTAGATTTTCTGAAATGCCTATTCATATCGCATAGATCATGTTAATAAAATATACTGAGAGTCATATGTTTACGATGTTGCGATATATACGTAACGTCTATGTCCATTTAATACGTTATATTGGCGTTTAAAATAAAACGTAACAGATACATCAAAATGTAGAGAATCTATCGACATACTAACACAACGTTATGATGATGTACCAGCGAGCACGTCTCTAGTCTGAAACAGTGTGGATGTCACCAGTATGTTACAAGCATGGGTCACTGTTGATTACATTACATAGCACAGGGAAAGCAAATGTACGCAGTTTGGGATGTAACAGCTAACAAGATCGTAGACAGAGTTAAGTGGCATTAACATCGTTACGACGTAACTGTGTTTACTGGGTTACAATATCAAGTGCTAATTACGATTCGGCTTGGGATCTTATAACAAAACGCTTTGAAAATCATCATCTGTTGATAGAGGCACATATACGAAATATTTTAAATGCTCCCACAATAACAAAAGGTTTTTATGACTCTTTACGTAAATTAATTGACGACGTAAAAATTAACTTGGAAGCTCTTAAGGTTTTACAACTTCCTACTCATGAATGGGATGCAATTTTAGTAACATGCTTGGGTGATAAATTAGATTTTCAATCGAATCGAGATTGGCAAGGTAAATTAACAACTAACCTTCCCACATTTGACGAATTAATAGAATTTTTGGAGACTCGTTGTCGTTATCTTGAATCTGTTAATAGCAAAGCACGTCCAAATATTCCAGTTATGTTCAAATCAAACAAATTCAATATTAAACATACAAATCAGACACATTCTTCAGTACATGTTACCGTAAAAAACAATTCATGTTTTGTTTGCAAGGGGAATCATTTTATGCATCAGTGTAATGAATTTCTGCAGATGAATATTAACAATCGCATTGAAAAAACAAAACAGTTGAAACTTTGTTCTAATTGTCTCAGAAAACACAATATCTCAGACTGTAGATCATCACATAATTGTCGCACATGTAATTCACGTCATAATACCTTACTCCATCAAGATCAAGTGATAGTTCAATCAACTAGTAATCATGTGTCATCATTTATTAACAATATTGAAAATTTGCTGTCCACGGCAGTGGTATTTATTATGGACAACCTTGGTTATTTTCACAAATGCAGAATACTATTAGACAGTGGTTCGCAATATAATCTAATAACTAGAGCATTTTCCAAGAAACTAGGACTAAAAACAGGCTTCACTAATCACAAACTAACTTTTGTCAATCAGTCTGAATCCAAGGTTACAGAAATGACAAGCGTAAGTTTAAAAACAAGGTTGAGTGACTATACAGCCAACATTAATTGTTTAATTCTAGAAACAATAACAGAACCACTACCCCTAAATTCATTCTCCGCTCAACAATTAAGTATTCCAAATACCTTGAATCTAGCCGACCCCACATTTAACATTAGCGGTCCTATCGATTTACTCATTGGTTCGGAATTATTCTTGGATATATTAACAGCCGGTAAAATCCTATTAAAACCGTTACTTTATCTGCATAATACCACCCTCGGATGGATTTTGTCGGGGCCTTTGAGTGTAGGATTTTCTAAGGAATTCCCAGCTTCTAATAATACTTCCTGCAATAACAATACAGTGACCATAAATTCTGATCTCGAAAATTTATCTAAACAGGTAGCAAAATTTTGGGAAACAGAGGATTATCACACTAATAAACCAGTACCCGTCCAGCAAGATATTATTTGTGAATCACATTTCAAGGCAAACACAAAAAGGGACGCCAACGGTCGTTTTTGGGTTTCCCTGCCCATAAAAGACAATTGCAAGCAATTAGGGTCTTCCTCCGAAATGGCTCGCAAACGATTTCTCAGTTTAGAAAAGAAACTAAATAAGGATCCAAATTTAAAATGAAAATACGTTGAGTTCATGCGTGAATACGAGGAACTTGGTCACATGGAAAAGGTTCCAAATGATCAATTACATAATCCAAATACATATTACATACCACATCATTCGGTCTTCAAGGGAACAAAAATTCGGGTAGTTTTTGATGGTAGCATGAAGTCCGACAACGGTTTGGCCTTAAATCAAAATTTACTTGCGGGTCCAGTTATTCAGCAGGACATTTTCGACATAACACTTAGGTTCAGAACATTTCAATACGTTATCAACGCTGACATTGCTAAAATGTATCGGCAAATTTATTTAAATACACCCGATCGCGATTACCACCGAATATTTTGGCGTGAAAACAGGGAAGATCCCATGCAAGTCTACCGTTTGACAACAGTCACATATGGGACCACCAGTGCCCCATTTTTAGCAATACGATCACTTCAACAATTAGCACACGAAAACCGGGAGTCATTTCCAAATGCAAGTGCCAAAATCATTCGAGATTTTTGTGTTGGTGACTTACTATCAGGTGCTGATTCCCTGCCACAAGCCATGGAATTACAATCACAAATTGACAACATTTTACGCTCAGGAGGTTTTCATTTAACAAAATGGGCATTTAGTGACATAAATTTAATACCTGAAGTTGATCGCACCTTTACCGACAATTTTAATTTCGACAAGCATGACACAAATTGTTCCGGTTCGAAGTTTGTTAATATTTTGTTTTGATTTTGTTTGTTTTCCCGCGGATTGCTGACAAGTGTATTTTGGTCACTTTCCACTAGAGGCGCCATAGTACCGAGCAAAAGGGCCCGGTACTTGGGGTTGGCGCTGTTATCGGAGAGTCATCGAGAAACCCTCAGAGAGGTAACATCGCTAAGGTGGGCGTTAAGTGAACGCAGTTGCCATCTTGTGTGACGTCAATCGCGAATTGTTGTCGCGAAACTTAGACACGTGGTTCCTTTGTGCATGCGGTCTACAAACCCTCAACCCAGGAGGCTGAACAAAACAAGGTAGGTGACCTTTTGATGCGTTTGTCAGCTTCGATCCAAGTTTTAATATTATTTTTTTTGGAGTTGTAAAATCGCCGCGAAAAAAAAGGTGTTTTCAAAGCCTTTACGTTCAACATATGGTCCTTCGAGCCGGATTTAGGGTAATTACGAGAGATTTGTAGATTCCAGCACAAATTTGTTCTAGTTTTGCTAAGCGTGATTAGCACGCATTTTCATTTGATTTTAAATTATCGGAATACGTAAATTCGAGTTTACATAATGGCTACCGTCGCCGCGCTAAGTAATGGACGCGCTAGTTTGATCAAACGCGTGGAGGCTTTAGTGAATCTATCGCAACAAGCCAGAGTCCACGAAACTGTACGAGGAGAGTTTTTTATTCGAGCCGCGGACTTAAACCACATTGTTGCCCAGTTTGAGCAGCGACAGTTGCAAATTGTCGAATTATGCACCACCCCTGAGGAGCTAGACGAACAATACGAGGTGCAATCAAGATTTGACGATATGCAGTATTCAATTAAATCGGTTGCAGCGGAATTAAATCGCGAGGCCGCGCAGTCATCCGCACCTAGGGGCAATTTAACATCAAACAACGTCAAATTGCCCAAAATTCAAATTCCGACGTTTGACGGTCAGATCAAAAACTGGCCCACATTTTATGATTTGTTTCGGTCGCTTATCCACAATAACCCAAATCTTAGCGCAACTGAAAAATTTCAATATTTGTCGACGTCATTGTCTCGCGAGGCGTCTACCGTCATCAAAAATTTGCCGATTTCGGCGGCAAATTATGCTATCGCATTCGATGCGCTGGTGGCGCGTTATAACAATAAGCGCGTATTATTGACGAATTATTGGCAAGCGATCTATAGTGCACCCAAAGTGAATGGAGATTCGCCGAGTTTGTTGCGAAATTTGTTAAACGTGTTCTCGGAAAATTTGGCCGCGTTGAAGCAGTACGATGAAGTCGATTTGTGGGACTTCACCTTGTTAAATTTAATGTTACAAAAACTGGACACCACGTGGAAACAGAAATTTGAGTTGAGTATTGTAGGAAATTCCGTACCTGCTTACAATGACCTCCAAGAATTTTTGCTTAAACATTGTACCGCGTTGGAAACTTCCGTTATGACAATGGGTCATAATTCCGCATCCGCCCTTCATAAACCCACAGCTGCATCTTCCGTACCTGCTAAGCGTCCCGTGACGTCATCGTTTGTCACGCGATCACCGATCAGCAAGGAACAATGTCTTAATTGTTCGGATGAGCACCCATTAACGAAATGCGATGCTTTCTTAGAAATGGAACCACGGGATAGACATAATTTCGCGCGTAAGAAAAATCTGTGTTATAATTGTTTGTCGAGGGTACATGCTGTTAGCAAATGCCCATCTAAAGTAAACTGTCGGGTATGTAATTGTAGGCATCACACATTATTACATTTTGTCCCCAAACCTAGTGCAGAGTCGGGAGAGGCGTCAGGGGTTGTGGAAAACCCATCTACCGACGACGGTGTCAAAGTTATGACTAACGCGATTCCGACCCGAAGTTTCATTCTGCTGGCGACCGCGCGAATAATTGTGGTGGATTCGCGAGGTAAATACCGTGCATTTAGGGCGCTTTTGGACACTGCCAGCGAGGCCACCTTTGTCACAGAGCGCTGTGCAAAGGTTTTAGGGCTTCCTCAAACTAACGCGGTGGTACCTATTCAAGGCTTAAATCAAATGTCGACAAGCAGTACGTCGGGTGTATTAAAATGCGAAGTGCGGTCGCATTTAGTGCGTAATTTCTCGTTGAAGGCCGAGATGGTAGTTGTGCCTCAAATTTGCGGTGACGTCCCCACAATGGCAGTGTCTCAAGATCAGTTGAGACAATTTCGTCACCTACGCAATTTGGAATTGGCTGATCCGGAATTCGGTACACCACAGCAGGTAGACGTTTTGTTAGGCGCTGATGTTTACGGACAAATCGTGACATCCGGTTTCAAGAAAGGTAGGCTCGAGGAACCGTCCGCGTTAAATACTGTTTTCGGTTGGGTATTGATCGGGAGTATTAAACGTAATAAGCAGAAAACCGTGGTCAGGTCCTTTTGTACGTCCATAGATAACTCTGTAGACGCGGCATTAAAACGCTTTTGGCAGCCTGAGCAAGGCTCACAACGCAGTATGGCGGCCCCGCAAGACGCTTGGTGTGAGGAAAAAGTCACGTCGGCGATCTCACGTGACATCCAAGGTAGATACAACATTCAATTACCTTTCGCCGACAAGACACAGTCCTTATTAGGTCGGTCCTCCGAGTCAGCAGTGCGCCGTTTTCTCGTCCCTGAGTCGCGCCTCTTTGCGGCCGACCTATTGTCATTTGCCCGGGAAACCCTCAAGGGTGTGTTGAACACACACAGGGTGTGTGCATGGCCCGACTTAAGAGTAACGCTAACGGGAATTAAGTCGCGGCCCGGTCATTGGACCACTTTTGTTGCAAATCAAATCGCGCCCATACAAGGTATATTCGAACCTTCGGCATGGAATCATGGAAGCGGCCCTGATAACCCAGCCGACTGCGCCTCGAGGGGGTTACTCCTACAGGAGCTTGTCACACAGCCGCTATGGTGGGCGGATCCCACGTGGTTGACAGGCACTGAGTGGCCTCTACAAGTAGACCTAGAAGTTCCTACCGGTACGGAACTTGAATTACACAGAAGGGAATTGCATCATGCGTTGTTAATACCTGTGCGAATGGTACAAAGTAAGGTGTTTGCCAATGAAGTTCGTTCATTGCAAAAGAATGGCACGTGTTCAAAACCATTCCGCAAACTGACCCCCTTCCTCGACGACGGTTTGATTCGCGTTACCGGAAGATTGCACCAAACGGAACTCCTCTATGAAACTAAGCACCCCTTGTTATTGCCGCGCTCGCACAGTCTAACCGAACTAATCATAGAGGCCGCTCATCGGAAACATTTACATGTCGGATTCCGGACATTACAGTATTTGTTATTGCAAGCAGCGGCCGGTAACTGTACCTTCAAATGGCATTTTAACCCCCCGTCGGCCCACCATATGGGAGGATTATGGGAGCCGGGGGTCAAATCTTTCAAATCCCATCTTAAGCGCGTTGTAGGCGAGCAACCCCTAACCTTCGAAGAATTTAGTACCGTGTTGGCGCAAATTGAAGCCGTATTGAATTCGCGACCCCTGTGTCCGGCCTCCGCGAATAATCCCGATGAACCGTTGGAGACAATGCGGTTAAATCGGTTAAGTAGATGGCAGCTCGTGCAACGGTTGCACCAGGATGTTTGGCATAAGTGGAACACGTCGAATAACCTGCCGTCGGTAGGTGTGCTGGTCGTATTCAAGGGTGATTCGGTGGCCCCGTTGCAATGGCAATTTGGCCGAATTGTCGCGCTGCACCCGGGAAAAGACGGTATAGTGCGAGTTGCACAAGTACGTACCACTTGCGGCATGATCACACGTCCTCGAGTGAAGCTGTGCCCGCTTCCTCGTCAATAGTTTGCATTCATATTGTATTTAGTTTTAGTCATTAGTTTTTAGATTGTCAATTAATCTTATATTGTGCTGGAACCTACGTTTAAAAAAAAAAAAAAAAATTTGTTTCATTTTCTTTTGGTGGGCGGAATGTTCCGGTTCGAAGTTTGTTAATATTTTGTTTTGATTTTGTTTGTTTTCCCGCGGATTGCTGACAAGTGTATTTTGGTCACTTTCCACTAGAGGCGCCATAGTACCGAGCAAAAGGGCCCGGTACTTGGGGTTGGCGCTGTTATCGGAGAGTCATCGAGAAACCCTCAGAGAGGTAACATCGCTAAGGTGGGCGTTAAGTGAACGCAGTTGCCATCTTGTGTGACGTCAATCGCGAATTGTTGTCGCGAAACTTAGACACGTGGTTCCTTTGTGCATGCGGTCTACAAACCCTCAACCCAGGAGGCTGAACAAAACAAGGTAGGTGACCTTTTGATGCGTTTGTCAGCTTCGATCCAAGTTTTAATA